GACCCATGCCCGGGGCTGCCTTGGGGTCTGGAGCCAGCTGTGAGGTGGCAGGCCTGGGCCAGGGGTCACCCCGGGATCCTGAATCCCTTCTGCTGGCTGCACACCACCCCAGCTCGGTGACCCCCAAACTGGACTGCCAGACCTGGGAGGAGGGAGTGTCCTGAGATGTAGGTGCTGGGGCAGAGGGCCCATGCGGGCACCGCGGGCTTCTGTTCCCTTAGCTCCAGATGCCTGGTGCTTGGCCCGCTGCCCTTCACTGCTCCATCCCCTCCAGGGCAGGTGGGTCCGGGAAGCTCCAGCCCTCGCTTGGCAAACACGCCTGACTACTGGGGCAGGCACCCTGGACTCAGGTGACAGCTGGTCACTGGGAGGACACAGGGGGCGTGGCGATCTCCCCCGCAGCTTCTGCCTGCTGCGCACGCCTGGGGATCCGCGGGAAAGAGGAAGTCGCTGTCGCAGCCAGCCCCTGGCCCCCTGAGGGTCCCCTCCCATGGGACTCTACCCTCAGGATCTGAAAGGTGGAAGGCAGAGGCCCCTGTCCAGGCTGCGTGGCTGGCCCCTTGCCCTTCCCCTCCAGGTTCAGACCTTCAGGTAGCCAGGGCTGATTCTCCAAACCCTAAGCTGGTCCAGGGCAGACCCATCTCCCCAACCTGGGCTGACTGGAGCTCTGTCAGCCCCTCTCACAGAGAAGATGGGACTGCAGTGGTCAGAGCTGGGGCACAGTGGTGCAGAGGGGTGGTGTCCTTGGCATGCAGGGGCTTCTTGGTGCTTCTCTGGGAGCTGGAGAGATGACCCGGCTGTCCCTGGAAACGTGGCAGCTGTCACCAGGACCTTGGGCCTTTCAGAGGCCTGCTTCCTCCCAGCTGGCAGTGCCCAGCGTCCAAACAATCAACTGCCTCTCGGGTCAGAGGCCTGAGAAAACACAGATGGAGGGACAGTGCCCAGCGGAGGATTCCTCGAGAGGGCCTGACAGAGGCCGTGGAACACCGCTACACCGAGCGCTGTTGTGTGCCAGGCACATGACCTCTTCAAAGTTATCCTGCAAGGTGGGTGCTGCCCCAAGTGTCCATATGGGGAAACTGAGGCTCAGAAAGGCAAGGAAGGCTGTCCAAGGTCAGCAGGCTAGGAAGGGCAGAGCTAGGATTTGCTCCTGGGAACTCCAGCTCCAGAGAACATAAACCATCCCATGGCAGAGATCCCTGTATACTTAATCCCCAGGGACCTGGCAGAGCTGGGGGGCAAATCGGGAAGCCCTCTCAGAACTCGCCAGACCTCCCTTCCTTGTCTCACTCCTCCAGCCCCCCAGCTCTTCCAGACCAACCCCCAGTGTGTGTGCACTGGGCCTGGGCAGAGGTATTTGGCTTCTTTAGCTGCAGCCCTGGGGACTCCAGGTGTCCACCCCCTACAAGGCCTCCTTCAGGATGGCTGACCCAGGGTCTGAGCTGGGGGCCTCAGCAGCTGCTGTGCACTGGCCCCAGGGTCCTGGGCAGTGGACTTCCAGTCCAGTGGAGTCCCTCCTGCCAGCTGCTGCTCAGGTATCCCCAGGGCACAGGCAGCAGGAGGAGCTGGGTGCAAGTAGGGCATCCTGCAGGGGGAGGAGTGTGGATGGGGCCCCCAGGAAGAGAAGGAGGCAGGCGCTCCGGAGAAAGTGGGAGGCCAGGCGGGGAGGGGAGCCTTGAGTGAGCAGAGGAAACGGGCTTGCGCTGGCAACCTTTAAAATTAGGAGAGTTTACGTAAAAATCCAAGTCTCTGGTTTCTGTTGAAAATGGGGAACTCTGGGTGCCTACATCACAGAACCCTCTCTTGGCTTCCAGCAGGCCTTGTAATCTTTGATCATTATGTCTCTTAGTTGCTGTGTTTGCCATCTGTTTCACCCTCTGGAGTGTAAGGTTTCTGGGCACAGGAAGCAGCTTGTCTTGGTCACTGCTGTCCCCAGCAGCCAGCTCTGGGCCTCCATAAGTAGTTGTTAAATTGGTGAAAGAGGCCAGGTGCGGTGGCTCACGCCTGTAATCCCAGCACTTTGGGAGGCTGAGCAGGCAGATCACTTGAGGCCAGGAGTTTGAGACCAGCCTGGCCAACATGATGAAACCCTGTCTCTACTAAAAATACAAAAATTAGCCAGGCATGGTGGCACATGCCTATAATCCCAGCTACTTGGGAGGCTGAGGCAGGAGAATCCCTTGAACCCAGGAGGAGGAGGTTGCAGTGAGCTGAGATTGTGCTGTTGCATTCCAACCTGGGCGACAGAGTGAGACTCTGGAAAAAAAAAAAAAAGACAAGAAAAAGAAAAAGAAATGTGATGTAGAAACACAGGCCTCACTTCAGGAGGATATGCCTTGCTAACAAAGATTTAAGACAATGTGATCAGTAGTGAGGGCAAGGCTTTTGGAGGAGGGAGGGTTTGCACTGGGCTTTGAGGATTGAGCTAGAGTCTGACATAAGAGACAAAGAAAGTCGCCAGGTGGAGGGAGTGAATATGTATAGGCTGAGAGGACTAGCAGGTGGGCACTTTGTGCCGAGGTGGCCGAAGTGTGGGCCAGTTCCTTGGAGGAAATGGGAGGTAATCAAGCTGGTAAGGTAGGACGGGGTCAGCTGGGAAGGGAAATCTGAGTGTTATTCCTAGGAGCTTGGAAATTGTACAGTGGGAAGTAGGGAGCTGTGCATGGCTTTTAAGCAGAACAACAGAGGATACAGTGCTACAGGAATACTGGGGACTGGCAGGAGGGGATGGATGGTGGATCCTGTGGGCCTGGGAATGAGTTGATGGGGGTTGTAGTCACCCAGGGGAGGGATAATAGGAACAGAAAGGACCTTCAGGAAAGAAGCTGTAGGCCTGGAGAAAGGGAAGGGAGGGTCAGAGTCCATGCCCATGGGGCGGAGACCAGTGGGATGCTGAGGTGGATTAAAGATGGATTAAATGGGGCCAGGAGTGGTGGCTCACTCCTGTAACCCCAGCACTTTGGGAGGCCAAGGCAGGCGGATCACAAAGTCAGGAGATCGAGACCATCTTGGGTAACACAATGAAACCCTGTCTCTACTAAAATACAAAAAAAAAAAAAAAAAAAAATTAGCCTGGCGTGGTGGCAGGTGCCTGTAGTCCCAGCTACTCGAGAGGCTGAGGCAGGAGAATGGTGTGAACCCGAGAGGCGGAGCTTGCGGTGAGCTGTAATTGCACCATTGCACTGGAGCCTGGCTGACGGAAAGAGACTCCATCTAAAAAAAAAAAAACTAGAACAGGCGGCCAGTGAGGGCAAGGCAGGGACCAGCAAGCGCAAGGCAGAGGCCAGCGCGGGCAAGGCGGGGAGCAGCATGGTGGGAAAGGTCAGCAGGGATGCCTTGGGATGTCCAGTTTCTTGGCATCTTCAGACCTGGAGAAGAGAGGAGTCCTGCAGGCCAGGGCAGGTCCCT